AAATGGATGTCCGCGCCGGAGACCCTGCCGAGAGACACAGCGTTAGCGCGGGGCGGGCCACCGGCGGCTGGCACAGCGAGGAAGGGCGCCGGGACTCACCGCGGAGAAGCCGCCGCCGCCGCCATCGCACCCGCCCCCAGGAAACTTCTGGAGAAACCAAGTCCCAGCCGCCGCGCCGCCGCGCGAGGGCTGACGGGACGGAGGGGGTATGCCGTGCGCCCTACGCGGCCTCACGTGATGGCCATAGAGCGGGAGGACTGGCCGGAATAGAAGGGCTCCTGCGCTGAGCCACTGGTGGGTGGGGCGCTAATAGCGTCGCGCGCAGACGGCACCCGCCCCTTGGCCCGATGATGCCATCTGTGTCTAGCGGCCGGTGGACTGCTGTTTCCATCGGTCTGCGCACGCGCGGGCGGTGCCGCAGCGTCCCCTGGCGGCCGGCTGGGCTAGACCCCTCAGCAAGGGAGGGGCTGGGGACTCCCTGCCCGCGCCTGCGTAGCCGCGGCTGAGGGCGGGGTTGTGCGGATGTGTTGTAGGGTTGTAGAGCGCGCGGTTACTGTCGTGTGTGTACGGACATTTCACCCCTGTACAATGTATGACGATTAAAAGTGTTCAAAATGTATGAGGTCTGGTGTCCACATTGTATGCATATTGGTCTAGAGGAAAAAGCAATCAGAACGGGGTAGAGGTGATATCCTTTATTAGACCAACTAGATTTTTGCACAAAAAGATTCTTTAATTGCAAGCTTTCAGGCACCAGCACCCTTCATCAGGCATCGGAGAAAAGATTGTAAAAGTTCTCCTGATAGAAATGAAAGTTCATATTTCCTAGGAGAGTCGAAGGTGGTAAAATCTCCAGTTTGGAACAGCTCATTTTATATGCAGAGAAAAGCTGCAATAGTCTTTACCTCCAAGTTGTTTGGTGTCAAGCAGGATGTAGTCATGTTTCCTTCTGGTGTTTCATACTTGATAGACGAGTAAATAGATGGAAAGCTCTTCTGGGCCCGCATTTCTTATGTGCTAATGTGTCTGAGCTCTGATGAGGCTCTGCCATGCAGCAAAAGCAAAACCCTAGCCACTCTCAGGGAGTCTTAACTGAGTTTGGGGTTTGAAGCCAGCATTGTCTTATGACCAAGGATCCTGGTTTTCTCTAATAAAAAACAAAACAAAACACATTTTTGGATATAAAATATTAACTCAAAGTCCACATTTGTCCATGATTAAAATGAAACCTACCACACACACGCATAGCGTTTCACTTTAATCACTGGAAAATGGATTTGGGAGGGGTGGGGTTATATCCAAAAATTGGGGTTTTTTTTCCTCAGAGGAATCTAGGATCCCTGCTTATGACTGCTCGCCTCAAATAAAGAAATGCTTCAACTTTGATGACCCAGTTCTCACTCAGTCACTCACTCGCTCCTAAGTACGGTGACCAAATGGAACAATGGACAAATACCTCATTGAGCCAAATTACCTCTTGACCATGGCCAGGGTCCTTTTCTGGTCCTTCTTTCTCTGATTCTCTGATTAATGTGAAATCCAGGACACTGCCCCCCACCTCCACTACAGGCAAAAACAGGGGCTAGGCACCACTGGTGTTACTACTCAGAAAGTGAAGGAGTCAATGGCCTGTTTAGGAATCTAAAAGTTTTCTTTACTTCACAGGTGGTGGTTCCTTCCAGCTGCTGCTGTGGCCCCTGGTCCCTGACTCCATGAAGACGGGTTGCATGCACAACCCCGGCCCTGGACCAGCCTGCACTTACTCTGGCCAGAGTGGACTACCTCCAGACCAGCCAAGACCCATGTGCACACCACCAGCCCTGGGCTGCCCCACCCCCGCTCTAGATCACCCACCCACAAGTGGCAGTGGTGGCAACTGGGCAGAAGCTGCTGCTGGGCATGGGGGAAAAGCAGCCAATTCCTCCTCATCACTGCTGGGCTATTCTTGCTCTGCTGCCTGGAGCCTGCACCCAGGCTGCCCTGTGGCTCATCTCCATTGCGGTTACCACTGCCACCAGTGCTGCCTCTGGGCCACCCAGCAGGGCAGCAGTAGCAGTGGAGAGGAGGTGCAGGACAGCCTGGGCGCAGGCTCCAGGAGGTTGCAACAAGAAGGACCTGGTAACGGTGAGGGGGGAGGTGGCTCCTTTTTCCCTGCACGCAGCAGCAGTTTCTGCCTGGCTGCCACAGCTGCTCATTGTGGGCAGGCCAGTCTGGAGCAGGTATGGGGTGTGCCATGGTCAGGGCTGTGTACATGGGTCCCGGTTGATCTGGAGTTTGTCCACTCCAGTAAAGGCAAGTCCAGAGCAGAGGCAGGTCAGGGCTGTGTGCTCGGCTGCTGCTGGTCACTAGTGGCAGTGGCGGGGAGGAGCTGCAGGGCAAGGGGGTGGGGGTCAGGAAGAGGGGGTGCTGACCGACTCATGACAGCTCCCCAAAACTGCCTATGCTGCTCAAGGACCCAAATAATTGCCCACCGCTATCGTAGAGCTTGTCTTTCTCTAATAGACAAGTTTTCCTCAGATTTTTGAGCACACACGTGCATGCATGTAGGAGCGCTTCAACCAAATAAAACTATCAATATCAATAAGTGTTCCCACATACTCTATCTAGCACTAAAAAACGGGATGGTAAGCTGCCTTTAATTTTGCGAACACAGCCAAAAAAAATCCTGACTAGAAACCTTACTGTTTTTATGTAGCTTTCACACCGTGAATGGTAGTGGAATTCTGTTCATTTTAAATGGTTTCCTCCGTAAAGGAATTTTCCACACTCCATATTATGAACACTTATGGCAAAATATATTAAACTTGTCAAAATATAATTTGTTTTTCTAGATACATTAAAATTCATATAAAATAGAGTTCGATTTATCCTTTGATGAAAATAAATATAGCCAATCTTTATACCTGCTCAGTATAGGGGTTTACTATGGAAACCAATAGAATTTTGAAGAACTACAGAACTAAATGAAACTAGAATTTAGCTTACAAATGTTTGTTCACTGTCCCAACTCCATGTTATCAGAGGACTCTGTTTAAGTTTTCAGCAAGTCATCACAGAAAGAAGCATGTTGTGATTTTGATTCCAAAAAGCCCTGAACAATTTGTAGTTTGTCATTTTGTGATGTCCAATAATTGTGCAGAGACTTTCAGAGGTAAGAGAGAACGTTGAAACCACCTGTGCTTGTTACTTAAAATATAAAGAGTTAATTCGGTATGTCTGGAGTAGGCTGTTACAGTTCACTTGTAACAGTATGGCACAAAGCTGTTACATGCTCAGACAAATAGCTTGTGGATCAGTATCAGTTTGTGTTTTTTCCACTTGATTTATTTTCATAATAAACCAATTAAAAATACAAAAGACAAGGAACTCAGAATCCAAAGGGCTCCATCATTTAAAAATTTGTCTTTAAATACAAATTCACTCTGGAATATGAATACATATAACTTTAGACCTCTAAACATAATGATCTTATTTTCATCTATCAAAATTTTTTCTATAGAAACAAGTTAGTTGAAAAACTTTCTTGTAAAATTAAATGTACATTATTTACATATGAAAAAAGAATTCTTAAAAGCATTAATCTCAGAACAGCGGCATAAATTGTATACAATTCACTTTTCCATCCTTACAAAATAATCTGAAATAGAAAGCAAGATAGTTAAAATCTGTAGCCACAAAATGGTATAAAATAATTGCACCAGTAGTGATGCCACTAGTTTCTGTAATTAAATATATTTGATGTGTTCTTATATCAAAAATATAGATCTGATAATGTCCATTACTGGTGTAAATGTTTTGTGTACTCTCAACAGGAGTGTATTCTTATTTTGCACACCCATTAGTTTGTGCAAAAATGCAACAGGAGGATACCTGGTTGCTACTGTCTATTACTTAGACTGATTTAATTAACTCATATGAAATAGATATTTGGTAAACTTGATAATCAAAATTCATATACATGGAATGAAAATGATGTTCTCTGGAAAGTAGCTGTTGCGTCAAAAGTCAGGTGACATTTGCAGATTAAACAGAAAAGGCTATAATATGTTATTGCAATGTAAATTAGCAACAGACAGAAAATGCTCAGTATATAAGACGTTCAGAACTTTGGCCAAAAACTCAAGAGAAAGTCTTCATAGCATAAAATGCATGTTCCTTCATGCTTGTATTTTGAAACATGAGTATATCATTTTATTTTTATGATAACATTTAGCAATTAACAGAAAATCAAAACCCAGTCTAAAGCATGACTTCTAACAATTAGCTGCAGAAATTAAGAAGCTCAGTAAAACCTGCTTTGGAATTAAATCATATATACAAGAACTGAAAAGGTCCCATCACATTTATGAAAATCATCATCCACAGGGGTTGGTTTTTATTAATATGAATTTGGTTCCAATTGTTCACTTTCTTGTTTTACTTGTATATTAGCTGGGAATCCATTGGAATTGGATAACACCATCAAAAAAGGCTGCTGCTGGAACCTCTGCTCCGACTGCTCAGTATCCTCTATTTTGTTATCTTCTGTCTCCTCTTTTACCATTCCTTGTATAACCGTTTGTTTGGTTTCTGGTGCTTTAATTACCGAAGTGATCACGGTGCCAGAAGGATGAGCTACCACCTGTGAACTGCTGGCTGAGAAAGTTACCACGGGGGTAGGAGCGCTGAAAGATGGAGATGAAGCCATATTGACTGTTCCATTGCAAATGGTCTGCACATTGCTGGTGAGA